ACGTCTGCTCTAACCACAACTGCTTCCGCACCGTAGGGTTCTACCAGTTTGTTCGTCCGCATCACAAAAAGACATTTGATGAGAAATGTCAGGAGCTGCTGGGTCAGGGCTGTGGGTTCAAACCGGAGCACTCGCTGTCTAAGGAGGAGAAGAAAGCTGTGATTCTGCAGACCGGTAGGAAACTGAGCCACTTCTCTTTGTGTTACTGATGGAGGCTCTAAAAAAAGTCACAGTGGGAACTTTCTTGGAATTGCTTTGAGTTAAATGCTAACTGCCAACAAGTTCAATCCTTCAGTGCAGGGGTCCCCACACTACGGCCCACGGACCGGATCCGGCCCGCCTCCACATTTGGTCCGGCCCCCTGAACAATACCAGAGAGCATTCAGATTTTTTTTCATTTATTGTATGTTCTGGTTTATATGTGGATTTTTCTTCAACCACCAGGGGGCTCTTTAGCAGGAAGTGTGTCCTGTAAACTGTGGGGCGCATTGCTGCCATCTGTTGGACTTTTAGGGAACTGCTTGACTTTTATGTTATTTAATCAGTTCGGTTGTTTGCTAGCGGTAGAGATGAACACAGTGTCTGTTATGAATGCCCCATTCCAGGTTGAATTCTTCAAAGCAATGCCTGTAAGCAGCAGCTTATACTTCAAAACGAGCCTTTATGTTAACATATGAGAAATTAATATATTATAGTTAAATTCCCTCAATGGAATATATACTAGTCAGTCCCAGTGACCGTTTCACTCATGGGTTTTGCCCATGTGCTTTCTGGGTAAAAATCAATCGAGAACCCCCCCTCCCCTCTCAACAATCTGCGGCCCCCCACCAGAGAAGGGAAAAGTTATTTGGCCCTCACAGGAAAATGTTTGGGGACCACTGCTTCAGTGTGTTTGTGACCAGCAGACATGTGACAAGCTGCTGATGTTGCATCTCCATGTGGTGTTAGTTCAGGTGGGCATATTGACTTAGATGAGGGGTGTCCATAGTGCACCCCACTGGCCATTTATGACCCAACGAATGACTTTGCTCGGCTGATTTGAGCAAATTAGGCCTGCAAACGCGGTTAGTGTTTACCTGGAAGAGCTCTTACTTTGTAGGACAGAAAATTAAATTGTTACCTTTGTAATGCTTTGTATGCAGCTTATTTCAGCAATTCACTGAAATCATTCTCGTGTGGTTTACATGGAAAATATATTTCTTCACAATTAAGTTTTTCCTTAATGATGATGTTTCTGATTATGTGGCCCTTTCTGACAAACAATATATAACTTGAACTAAATTACACGCAGAGAAAAAAAAAACTAAAGATTTTCTAGTTGAGGTGGTTCAGTAACTGGAATTACCACAAAAAATGAGAAAACGATCAACTATCAACATTTAAGCTGGATATTGTAAAACGCTGAATTAGACCGACTTAAACCCGCTTAAGTGCTCACAGTGAGATGGCTGCAGTTAAAATACAACAAGCAAGAAAACATAATTAACAAAAACTGGCAACATAAAATATCATTAAGTTGTGGTGCAAAGCAGTCAGCTAACGCTTCACAACACCAAGAAAATATTACTTGTTCAACTTATCGGAGAACCACTTCAGAACCACCAAGAACGAACTATGCTCATACACTATTGCAACTTGGGAACGTTTTAGTGACTTCCATTCTTTCTGTGGACGTCTAGAGGAAACTCTCCTTGTGATCTCAATGGAGAGGGGAAAAATAGAAATTATAATTAAAAAGTACAAATTTACAGTTATTTCCTAAAAACAGGTTTGTGAAAACTTTGATGCGTTTGTTTTCCAGCTGTAGATCGCCAAGCGGTGGGAACTCTGAGCTCCAGGTCCACATGCGGTCAGCTCGACACGCAGCAGCTCAACAGAGGAGGACGACACCTGAGCCAGCAGGGATTAAGAGCAGCTCCATCTGGTAGGAGATCTTAGGCTAAGGAGGCAACTGGTGTGTTTGGCCATTTTGTCTGTCTGATGGAGTCGTTATAGCTCTGAAAAGCCAGTTTTTTAGCTTTCAACGTTAACACATTAACACATGCGATTAATCAGAAAATTTGAATGTGTTAATATTACCTGATGCAGGTTAAGCAAACTACCTAAAAGCCTCTCTTCCGCGGAGGGTTCTGTAGTTCACAGCAGAACATTATGGACCTTACAGACAGGGAGCAATGAACAACAGGGGAAGGTGATAGTTTTACACAACAGCAGACAGGAACAAAACGTTTTAGTTTTCAACTTGCTCGTTTTGCGTCGCTAGCCCGCATGTGCGCATTTACGTATACGAGCTCGAAATTTTACACACACAAATTACGGTGGTCATTTTGCTGGAGGAGGACAAGGACAAGTGGCTCATGGCACCAGTTCCATAGGAAATGAACGGAGTGGGATATTTCTAAATGAATACGTAAGACAAAATGACTTCCTTTAAGTCTTCCTGAATATTAAAACCTGGAAAACTGAGAATCTTCAGACATGTTTGGTTTGAAACAATAAAACATTTTTGAAAGCGTGCATATAGTGATGGTTTTTGATATGCGCTGTATGGGCAGTTGTCCAGGGCGGCATCAGAAAGGGGTCGGGCCCCAAAAACTATAAAATAAAATACTTCTCATCTGTCTGCTTTCCCCTGAACAAGTTTGCTACTATTTGATTGCATATATAGTGAAGTAAGTTTCTCTTAATTTCTGTTGAGTGCTGGGAGATTACATCACCTGCTTTCTGCTACAAAACAAAACAAAAAAAAAACATAATTATCAGAGAGCTAGTGTGATTAATCTGATTAAATTATTTGATTGACAGCAGTATTTTATATTGAATAGTTCAGTTGGAAGATTAGCTGCAGTGTGGATGAATAAGCTCACTGAGCATTCTTCTGGCCAGGTTCTGACCATAAGAGCGAGATCCACGCTGCCTTCCTGGCCGACGTAAAGCAAGCCCTGGGACCTGAAAAGTCCGCCCAGCTCTTCCAGGCCATCCACGGCTACAAGAAGACGGACGATTACGACAGCCTGGTGACCACCGTGGTGAGCTTATTCACAGAGAGGGATGAGAACTTCCACCTCCTCATCAGTAGGTTCTGCCCGAGTCCTCCACAGATCTCCTGGCTTCTGCATGCTGGAGATTTGACGAAAAGGATATGTGTATTGTGTGTTTTCAAGGGTTCGGTGTGTTTGTTCGCCCTCGCCATAAGAAGCGCTACAAAGAGATGCTGGATGCTCTGATTGGTCAGCCCGTGTCAGCCGCTGACAGTCCTGCTGTGAGCGAGGAGCAGCCCTCTGCAGGTCAGAGTCCATCAGCGATGTTACGCATGTTTCTCTGAGGCATCTCTGACTTTATGTCTGGTTTTCAGTTTGTTGCAGTTCCATGTCATCACAGCTACATACTGGAAATGACATTTCTGTCTAGTGGCTGAAAGTTTTTCACCGTGTTTAGGATTCTGTTTTGTTTTTCAGCTCCTCTCTCACCACCTCTGAAGACTCAAAGCAAGATTTCCAGTTTTTTCTCCAACAGTGAAAGAAAGTCTGATCCTTGACCCTGGACTATTGTTTCAGATCAGCCTGAATAATTGTATTGTACAACAACCTGGACCTGTTTTCCTCTGAGGAAAGCCAATGAAAATTCAAGTTTTCCATGTTTTCTGCTTGATTAAAATGAGGAAACCATCTGTGAACTTCAGTGGACAATGCTGAAACCTGGAGTTTTTTTCAGCAAATGTTTCCCAAATTAGGATCTGCATAAATTCTCTTGGAAGTTGACATGTTGACCACATCGATCAACATGTGATCAATGAACATGTTAGAGTGATGGGGATGAGGCATTTTTCTTCCCTTCAGGTTGTATTTTGGTTTTCACAAATCAGCTGTGTGCTTGCGTGTGTGTGATGGACATGACTTTACATCAGATCAAATCAGGTTACTCCGCCTATCACATTGGTTATTTCTGGGTTTTGAATCATGGATTTCTACAGAAATGTTACACAACAGCAGCTCAGATCCAGTAGAATTTTGTCTGCTTTGAAAACAACAACTAGATGAACTTGCTTGTTTTTACAGATTATGTGGAACTACAAATTTACCTGATGAGAGCCAAACAGAGGTTTCAGTTCTGAAGCCCAGACTTCAGTAATAGCCTTTTTAATATAAATTAATATTTTTTCTTATTTGCATCAGTCATGAAAAGTTCAGGTGAATTTTTTTTTTTATGAATAAAAATAAATGGATTTTCTGCTCATGCTTCTATTATGTTTAAAACTATTTAAATAAATAAAAAATGGGATTTTTCAGTGTGATTATTTCAATGGAACATGAGTGTCATACTCATACACAGTGGGCTGAAACTGTATGAGACATGAAAAAAGTCTCAGGCCAGCCTTCATAAATTGAAAAATGTCTAATTTTTTCCAGATATCTGGCATCTCTTCTGAGATCATAAAGAAGGCAGTCTGCCAGCAGAAGATTCTTGGATTTGTAGTATTAATGTTACGTGTATCAATATAATTACATTCTGAGCCAAATCTGGCTCATGGACCTGAATTTGACAACTGCAATATAAGTAAATTTATTTTAACCCCAGCGGCGTCAGCAAATTGAATTCATACTTTACGTTGTCTTTATATTTTAACTGAAGCTCTATTAGCAGAGTAGTCCTCTCTCCTAACATCCAACTTTGTAGAGACCTATTCCATGGAGCCAAACTCTGAACATGTAAAAGGGATAAGGATGAAGCTGTGCTAAAATAATTAAGTAGGTCACAGATGAAAATTGGCCTATATAACATATCGAATGAATGATTATTGGCATGAAACCTGGTTTTATCCAGTGTCCTCTTCCAGTATTAGAAGCCTCAACTCCTGTCAGGTAGAAACACTGAGTTTTTCTTTATAGTCTGTTACTATGGCTGTATAACTAGACGTGCATTTCTGGAGCGGAAAATTCAGAACTTTTCCATACTTAACGAACTCGGAGCACACTTTCTACAAAAACCAAGATTTTTTTTTCTCTGATGGTCATTGAATGCGGCATACGTCAACAACCTTGAGACCTCGCGAGACTTGTTTTGGCACATCCCGGTACTTCCATCATGGCAGGCAATAAGTTGGTATTGGAAGGCAGAGTGAGTATAAAAAGCTTTCTTTTAGGCCTCAGCGTCGTCCTTATCCCACTCATCCGGACCTGGTTCGGACACCTGGACTGGGTCTTTGATTATCTGACAGAGACTCCAGGGAAAATTGCAATTTGTGTCCACATTGCGGCTATTAACGGCCTTTTGCTTGTCATATACAGAGGACCAGTGTATAAGGTAAGCACATACGATTCTCTACATCCCGTAAATTTGACCAACAGACCATTGCTTGTGCTTAAAATGTTTCCTGCTCTTCAGTCTGTTGCTGGGACGAGCAGAGAGTTTCATTCTCTGTTTCAGCCTGAGAGGAGGATTAGCAAACCCCCAGCTTCAGCTCTGTGCAGATAATCTTATTAGGCGAATCGCGAAGACAGCTGGTGTTACCTAGCTAACCATAGGACTCCGGCACATTAGCAACATATTGTTTTACTTTCACATGTGAAGCTGTACGGAAGCTCAGACGTGCCATTGCTGAAGAACTCAATCGTATTCGTAACTTTGTTGAACTATTCCAGCCACAGAGACTAACCCTCGAGTATGCAGGAATGTTTTTTTTGTTTTGTTATTATATTACTACTTATAAACAGAAATTCAATAGTGGTTCTTTAAAAATGGCGACACATGTTCTTTAGTGCATATTTATTAAATATTTCCCTTCATCATTTTAGGCCATTATATTTGTCTTCTGTTCAAATTCAGCTAAAAAGTACTTTATCCCAAAGGGAAATTAAATGTTGTTGTAACTCGTATTGTACAAGTATCTTCAAAGAGTCATTTTGGACAGTGTTGCTGTGGGCAGGAAGGATCTCCAGTGGCAGTCAGTCTTACAACAAATCTTCAGAAGCCTCTGACTGAAGACTGCTGTTGTATGACGCTCACGCTAACAGCTCAACATCCACAATATTCCTCATGAACATATCCTGGATGATGACATCATAAGATGCTTTGCTAATCCACCTTCTTTTCTTTTGCCACTCCTCTGTAAACGCCATAAACAGTATTATATTGTGTTTATCTAATACTATATAAACAATACTTATGCTATATTACAGTAAACACCATTAGATGGTGTTTATGGAGTTAACAGACTGTCTTTATAGGACATGTTAGCTCCAGCTAATTGTCTCCATGAGAACAGAACGGTCTGATAACAGAGTGTCGTGGCCTGTTGCAGGTTGCTGTGAGAGCCTGCTTTCTGGGAGTTACATTCGGCTGTGGCCTAATCATTAGCTTCTCTGACACCACTTGGACACATTTTGGCTGGTATGTATCAAATATGAACTGCATTGTTTGGTTTTTGTCAATTAAAAAAATGTCTTATAGCGACCTCTATCATCAGGAGGGTCAGACAAGTTGTAACGTGTCAAATGTGTCTTCGTCCAGGTACATGTGCTCCCTTTCGTTCTTCCATTACTCCGAATACCTGGTGACCGCCGTCATCAACCCTCGCAGCCTGTCGCTGGACTCGTTCCTGCTCAACCACAGCCTGGAATACACGCTGGCCGCCGTGTCGTCATGGCTGGAGTTCACCGTGGAGAAGCTCACCGTTCCAGGTGCCGCTTGCTGCAGGTTTCTGCTCTGTGAGCTAACAGCTGTTGGCTTGTGTGTGGCTTTTATTAACAGGATGTTTGGGTTCCCAAAGTAGAATGAGAAGAGCTTGATCTGAGCAGCTGCTTTGAATAACATCACTGGGGCAAATTAATTATAATGTTGTTTTGAGACCATTTTCAATTAATTTGTAGATGATTGCATAATAATGCAAGTTTGCGCTCCCAAAGATAACACACTCTAATTTTGGAAAAGAACACTTTACACTGGAACTGGAAGATATTTTAAACATTCCAAATAAAACGACCAAAAACAATAAATAAAACAAAATAAAAAGGTCACTCCTCCAGTCAGTGAATTAGATGTTGATGTTTTGCCTACATCTTTATTAGATTTTTTCCAAAAACATTTATGTGCTATTTCTCTATCTTGGCCTCTGTCTCCTGCCATAGAGCTGAAGCATCTAACCTGGGTCAGCTTGGTTGGACTGGTCATGGTGCTGTGCGGCGAGGGCCTGCGGAAGGCTGCCATGTTGACGGCCGGCTCCAACTTCAACCACATTGTCCAGAATGAGAAAGCCCAGAGCCACGTTCTGGTCACCAGCGGGGTCTACGCCTACTTCAGACACCCGTCCTATGTGGGCTGGTTCTACTGGAGCATAGGAACTCAGGTGACACGATTCATGCTACTCTTTCCTGTTAATGCAAACTTCACTGTATGACCAACCACTTGAACAGCTTCAGTCAGTTATTTACCAGCTCTTGCTCCTCACTGGTTCTCATCCATCTCTGTCATGTCTTGCAGCTTTAGATGTCTGATCTGTTAATATTCAGGATTTATGAAAAGTTACTAGAACATCTACAGCATTCCAACATAAAGCTTTTGCAGAGACATGACTCCACTTTGACTGGTCTCTTGAGAACCATTTATCTGAGCCCTAAACAGGACTGAGAGCGATGAATGACATTTAGTCTGATTCATTAACATGAGGATGGACACGTTAAGCTTGGAAATGCACTGGTTTAGACACCAGTGTATTTCCACTGTCTTACTACTAGTGATTTTGTCTTGTCAGTTAATATTTGTAATGTTATTGAAAAATCCAAAGTATTCTACAAAAAAAATTACATAAAGTTGGTTTTAACTGTTTCAAAATAAACAGCAACGACTCGGAGTGGAAGGAGAACCGCTGGCGAGGAAACTGGATTAAACTGGTCTGGCAGCAATTCAAAAAAACTAATGAATGATGATCAATATCGCCTGATGAGAAATGCTTATATAGTGATGCATTTCTCATTCATATCGCCCCGCCCTGCCCTCTCTAAGTGTTAGTTTGCTGCCATGTTGTGTTGTTTGCTCACGAGCGTCTGTTGCTGCAGGTCATGCTGTGCAACCCGGTCTGCATCCTGGGCTACACGATAGCCAGCTGGCGCTTCTTCCGGGAGCGAATAGAGGAGGAGGAGCTCTCGCTCATCCACTTCTTTGCCGAGGACTACGTGGAGTACAAGAGGAAGGTCCCCACCGGGCTGCCCTTCATCTCTGGGATCCGGGTCAACTAGTCCCCATAGACCTGGACACCAAGCCCAACAGACTTCAAGCTCCTTAGCAGGTCAGACCTGGTGGCGATGTGTGGTCTGCTGGAGCAGCTGCCACCCCCCCCTCAAGGTGAAGCCCCGGCTGAGAGCCCGCAGCGCCAGCAGCTGCAGAGGCAGAGTGACGGCAGCTGGGCTGCTGTTTTTCTACCAACGTCCAGTATATGAACAGAGAACCTCAGCTGTACACGCATTCTCACTCTCGCCCGTTTCTGTCTGCATGCCGTCACCATGGCGATAGGTTTCCACTCATCTGCCGGCTGCTTTGCCCGGACCCTTCAGCATCACATGTCAGAGTTGACTTCATGTATTAGAGATGTTTCACAGAAAATGAACAATATTGAGAGGTTTTAATGTGGAGGATCACGCTTAAGGCTTTTCCCAATCAGAAGTATGTAAATGGAGGACCTGTTGATGCAGAGTCTAAATCTTCTACTGCTTTTTTTCTACATCTACTGCTTGCTCACTCACCATAAAATCAATGTCCATATTTATTCCTGACCCCACTCTCTAAGGTCGTAAAAAAACGTATTTCTACAAAAGCCATGTTTTCTCATTTGCACTTTCTCATTTTGAGCATCTTGTTCTATCTCTGCAGAAACAATGAAACTTTCTCTCCAGAAAGGAGAACCAGCTCCAGACCCCAACCACAGACGGTCTGTGATTGGTGTCTGGACCTGGTTCCGACAGTCTGGCTGGGAAGAGGAAGAAGATGGTCACCCTCTCCTGTGATCACCTCCTGCTTTTCTTTCATCTCCTGATATTTTCTAGACGGGGAGAGATGAATTAAAATAAGAACTGCCTTTAAGCAGAGATAGAAACGGGACCAGCAGGAGAAAGTTGACCTCCACTTCTGAGACGACTAAATGTAAACGTTTCTGTAGATTTTTACTTTTTTTTTCTCTCTCTCTCTCAATGAGACACGCCGCAATATCACATTACATGTGCTGTTTAGCTGAGCAGGGTGTCCTTTGTTATTTAAAACATTACATAACATAGAACACCTGAACTTTGTTGTTTTTTTTCTCTAAAACTGTAGAGGAGCGTAGCGTGGTGAGCCTCTGGTCTTTTCTGTAATGGGTGAAGCTGTACGTGTGGCAGAGTTGGGTCTGGGGAATCTTCTGGTGCTCAGGGTTTTGCTTTGGTAGTGGCTGCTTTTTCATCCATTTTGCTTTCCAGATGTGTGCTCATCTTGTGGCGTCCCCTCTCATTCGTTAGCATCATTTAGAGTCATGAGGCATGATGACTTGTCGTACTGTTTAATATTTAAGCAATTTTTTTTGGTTGTTTGTTTTAAATCAATGATTTATAACGACTGTAGCACAAACTCGGACGTCCTCTAAGGACTACTAGGTTCTCATGTTGGAAGCGCAATGAGTTCCAAAGTTGTCCCAATAATTCTCACACATTTCCATAAATAGTTTGTGCGTCTGTACAAACCACAAACAGACCAAAGTATTATGCAGAAGATGTTTAGATGTGTGCGTGGCGCGTCGCAGTGGGAAGGAATGTTGCGGTCAGGATGTTGCACTAAAGTCTTGACCTCCACACTTTGTGTTTCATAATAAAGTCTTCCCTTCATGGTTTACAATTCTGAAACAGAGACTATATTAAAGGATGGACGAGGTCACTCTGAGGCGTCAGGCAGTCAGGTATGCAGTGGCGCCCAGACGGGGTCGTGACCCCTGTCGATAAATGCTGCCTCCCAGAGAATCATGTTCAATACATACAAAGGCATATGGGCCATTTTATTTAATCAAGTGTGTTCCAATTCAATAAAGCATATATATATATATATATAGCCATGATTGAAACCAAGTGCATCCCCTTGTCATTCTTTTGAGTTTAATATAGAAATAATTTGGTCTCTAAAGTTCTATCAGTACAATAATTAGTGGGCTAATAATCCAAAATTGAAAGGTTTATATAATTAGAAGTCAAAAATCTCTTCTTACCTTAACTGCTGCTACTAAAACTTCATATCACATTACATGCTTTGAAAGCTCACTGACAGGTTGTTCTGATTACACACCCTATGTTAATCGGTTATCTAATAGTCAAGTGGCAATAACATTCTGTTCCATCAGTCCTCTGGCTTTAATCAAAATGAAACATGTGTCATGAAATACCAACTGAGTACTTAAACATGTCATTTGAAAGGTGTTGAATTCCCCTTATTACATTAAATGTTTCATATTTTTATTGAATTGGAACAAACATTAACGCAATTCAATGAATTGTATACTAGTTAAGGCCCAAACTACCCCTGTTAGCAATGTTTCCAGCACCTGTAGTTTGTCTCAGCTACTGTTTTAGCAGATTGACCTCCAAAACCCATCAGAGTTTGATCATCTGTTTCTGTCAGTCCCTCTGCAGCGCCTCCTCTGACGTCGACTGCAGAGACAACTCATTTCCACCACATTCAACAAGACAAAACTCCAAAACTTTGGTCTAAATTTGAATAACAGCTCAGTAAAGGTCATGTTTTTGTTTATCTTTTAATCTGACACATGTAGCTTCTCCACAAAGTACCTGGTGGGAGATTTCTGGTAAATGATTAAAAGTTGTGGGCACACACACGGATTTTATGCTGCATTTTACCTGCATAGAGAACCTTTATGGCAGGTTTTCCACTTTGACTGAAAACTGTTGACTGCATTTATTCAGCACTGCTTGTATGAAATAAAGTTGAGGTTATTATCTAAACGGCTCTGTTTTTTTGTTTTTTCTCTGATGCTGATATATTAATATTTCTGTCATGGCCAATAACTGATATTTGATATATGTATTTTATTACACTTTAGGCACCTTAAATAAAACAACCACACTGTTGACTTCTCTACTGCTTCAGTCCTGCCCTGCAGCACAATCGCCATCATCACATGACCAAGTAAATATCACATGACCAGCCTCCTCCTCAGCCCCTCTGGAAACAAATGGCGACAAAATGGAAATAAATATCGGTTGTTAATATCGCCTGGTTTTATTCATTAGACACAGTTTTTGGACCAAAGCCAATATGCTCAAAACAAATGACGGCCGATTCCGATGTTATTGCTGATATTTTATGCATCCCTAGAATGCATAAACTATGCATTCTAGGTCTATATAATCTGCTCTTCTTTAGACCAGGTTTTCTAAACATGCACTAAATATAATTCTCTATTTTGAAAGTTAAGGAAGTTTTCTAAAATGTGTTTCTATTTTCAGATTTTAGAAAAAGAATTGTCTAACTTTTACAAAGGAGGAACAAAAGCTACGCAGTAGTCTTTTCTGTTCTTATAGTAAAAAACATACATGGACTATTCAAAAATAAGATGCACATTGTAATACAAGACTTATACTCTTATACGATGGTATCGTAAAGAACAATTGCTAGAACCACCCTTCGTTAAATACATTTCTTATTTGGTTTTCTAAGAGTTGAGATGGAATTAATGCCCTTTAATCGATCACGGATAACAGGATACGATCAGTGACTCGGTATTTTATTTTAAACGCATGCGCACTACTGGCTCTTCCTTTCTGCTAGCTTCTCAGCCATGGCGCCTATTGTAAGTGAAGCGCTCTGTTATTACAGTCTTAATTACAGCTCAATAGTCAGTGGTAGCTTCCGAGAAAATGGCTGTCGTGACAGTGCAACTGTGGTTTAAGGTTTTAGTGTAATAAAATCCGACTAAAGGCCGGTTACGAGGCGGCTTGTTGTTAGTTTGGGTCTGCGGCGGCCTATTAGCTGTTAGCTCGTAAGTCACCACGTTGTTCCCCCAGCTGACGGCTGCGCTTAGCTTCTGCTGAGATTAAATGGCTAACGCGATCAGATGATAAGCTTGGTTTATTACTTTCTTGATAATCCTGTAGCAGCTAAAGCCTGAAACCGAGCTGAACCAAACGGCTAAATCTTTTAGAAACACCCAGAAATCAGCGTTTGGTCCGCCGTTTATAAAACAAAAAATAGCCTCACTTAAACCAGACCAGTGTTTTAGCCCAGTCTTAAAATATTTTTGTGTTTATTGAAAGTATTTTCTTCTATTAGCAGAAGAAGCAGAACACCGGCAAAGGTGGGAAGAAGAAGAAGCAGGTGCTGAAGTTCACTCTGGACTGCACCCATCCTGTTGAAGATGGCATCATGGACGCTGCTAACTTTGTAAGTGCCGCTCTCCTCGGCTCTGCCCCTGCATGGGCTCTGCACTCACATTCTGCTGTTGTTGTTTTCTTGGCTAGTAATAACCATGTTCTGATCGGGGAACAAATGTGATTTCTTGATGAGATGCAAATTAGCGACCACAGCAGCTTCCCTGTTAGGAAGTCTAGGATTGTGCTCTTCTGAGAAATCAGCAGAATGTCCGATTGTCTGCAGATTAACATGCAGAAGATGCTGCACAGCAGCTTGACATGTGGGTCACAACACGGATATCACCGTGTGTGAGTGGAGAGGAGGTCTAAACACAATGACTTTAACGATGCACGTAATCAGATGCTCTCTAAACATTAAGCTGAAGTTGGTTTTCGATTGAGGAAATGGCTATGGGACAATTCTGCCTTGTTTTTCACTACCTTGCACATGCTCAGTCTGCTGTGGTTTAGAAACGACAACATTTAGACTCTTCAAACCCGGACTAGATTATTTTACACTACACGCAGAATGTTTAATACCCAGTTTGAGATTTGTGAAACCTTCATTTGGTTTGTGGAAGGTCAATAAAAGAGCCATGTTGGTGGTGTTGTTTTTTAAGCATCTGGAGTATATTAGTACAGCACAAGCTCAGAAACTACAACATGTAGACTCTTCTAACCTGGACCATGTTATTCTATAATAATAACATATTTCAATCCAAGTTTGTGATACTTGCTTGTTTGTGATACAAGTTGACTTTAACTTCTGTTAAAGTCAACTTGTATTAATTCCACTGCACTAACACGACCCCCTGTGTGACTGGTTTCCAGGAGCAGTTCCTGCAGGAGCGCATCAAGGTGAACGGGAAAGCTGGCAACCTGGGCGGAGGGGTGGTGTCCATCGAGAGGAGCAAGAGCAAGATCACAGTTTCCTCTGAGGTCCCCTTCTCTAAGAGGTGAGGACCACTCAGTGTTTAGCTCCAGGGTACTGTGGATGAAACGTCACCATGGAAACGTATCACCTCTACCTGCTGTCTGGGTGAAAGGGCAGCTGGTATCACCACTGTTTACAACCTTTTTGTGTTGTTTATAGATCTCATACCTTTATATAGAAAAAGATGTGCAAAATTCTTTGCTCTGCTACTTTATAAAACACTTTAAAAGCAACAGCTTTGACAAAGTGTACAGATTGCAAACATCAAGTCTATGGATAGGACAAAAGAAATTAGACAATAAGATCAGTAAAACACTAAAAGGAATACAAATGTGTTTTAAGTGTAAGGGCAGATGGTTCCATGATGTGGGAGCAGCAACTCTACAGGCTCCATCTCTGAGCTTCAGTTCAGCTGATCAGCCGGCCTGAGGCATATGGAGCAGCTCAGAGAGGAAAGACGGGACAAGACCTTGTAAACCTTTAGGAACTCTGAAAAGCACAGGCATTCATGGGTTGGGGTGAGGAGGAGTGGATGCGTCTCCCTCTCTGCAACTCTAATGGTTCAGATCTTACTTGCATGTTAGAGGACTAATTCTGACTTTAGATGCGTAATGTTGCTGTCTGGTCTGTCAGCTCGTTCCTTCAGTACAACATGTGTGATCATGTTTGTAGCTGAATCTGCCCCATCAGCCCAGAAGTCCAGTGTTAGTCTCAGTCTGCCAGGGTTCCTGTTCTCTGACAAAATCTGGACTGTCAGCTCTGCATATGGATGGAAAGTTCTGGGACTTCCAGATTTTAGTCCCTATCCCAGAGTTGTTCCATTAATTCATTCATCCATTTGTCTGTCAATCTGTCTATGCTTTCTACAGGTTCTGCATATCAAACCTGGCTGTTGTAGAAAGTCCAGAAACGTGTGATTTTTGTGTTGACACTTGAACGTTTTCCTAAAAAAGGACGATTTATCTTGGCATTTTGAGTCAGGAAATGTTCAGGAAGCCTTAACATCAGAAGATATTCCATTAATCACACCTGCAGGACAAACAGGAGCACACATTGACTACAGATTCAGACAATGGAAAAGGATGAAAGAATGGTTCATTTTCTCTTGTCCCGTAGTGTGGATAGCAAGTATTTGGACTAAAGAAATTAAATAACCATGAAATGAAAAGCTATGATGTCCTCCCAGGAGTAAAACTGCAGAAAAAGATCTGACACCTTTGCTACTAATCTCCCCCCTCAGTAGCAAGTTTCCGGATGGATCAGTGAAGTGTGTGTGAAGGGGCTTCAAACACTAACACACACGTCTGCAGGCAGCAAGACAGAGACGAAGCTCACTGTCAGGTTTCTCATCTGTTGTCATGTTGAGTTCCTGTGCTTCTGTTAATTTAACTATATTGAAACTGATTTTACGGGTCTGTTTGTGCAGTCATTTCTATGACATTTAGCATCTTTTCAGATTAATTCATTCCATCCTGGTCGTTTTGTTGAAGGAAGATTAGTAACCCTGTTTGCTAAAAGCTCAAGTAATTCATCTAGAATCAACAGTAACAGTCATTAATTTGTGTCTCGTTATCTTAAGTTATTTTCGAGTCTTTAAAGCTCAGCATCAGATTGAATGTTGCTAGGAAGTGTAGTTTGCATTGTTGAAAATTCTCTTTTAAATGCCTGAAATGTGGATGAATTTGGATTACATGCTGTTTATGTTCATAACTTGTACAAGTTGAACTGCTGAAACAATTCTACATTAAAAATGATTAAATGAAGGCCTGGTGCTCAGTGACAAGTCACTGTAGATGTATTCTGAAGATGCCCGTTTTCAAATGGGCGTTTTATTATTGTAGAAATGCCAGGAAATAATAGTCACCCATCTTTATCTCAATAGTACCACAAAATATGCTATTTCCTGTCCACATTTCTCCCTCCGACAGTCACATGTGACCAACCTTTCACTGGAACAGTATTAATGCTCGGACATGTTGCTCATTCATAATTCATGCAATTGGTGGAAGTATTTTGTATTTGAGACCAATTTGTTATTTTGCAGGTACCTGAAGTATCTGACCAAGAAGTACCTTAAGAAGAACAATCTTCGCGACTGGCTGCGCGTTGTCGCCAACACCAAGGAGAGCTACGAGCTCCGCTACTTCCAGATCAATCAGGACGAAGAGGAGGAGGAGGATGAAGATTAAATTGGCATTTTGTAGGTTTAAATAAATTTTGTTTACAGTACAAAACCTTGTCTGTGTTTTCAGTCGATGGAATCCATACGGTACCAGGATAGGTCTGGTATTTTGTCGACCCAGCGTGTGGCGTCGAAGGTGTTGGGCTCGTATTGAGAAACGATTTGCTTCGTTGAGGCTTTAAATTTTACTGAATTGCTAATGTTTGCTGGTGACACATGTAGTGTGCCAGTTTGACACTGTGAAGCTGAATGGAAATTACCTGTACTGCAAAGAGAGAAGAACCAATCCGAATGAGGCAGCTGCTAATTCAATGTTTGGAAGCGTGGGCGACGGCTTCCTTCACTTCCTCTGCTGTCATTGCTTGAAACTACGAGCAGACCACAATTCTAAGACACAGAAAATCATCGTCGTCGTTCACTGCTTCTCTGTCTGCTCATTGGCCCGGTCAAAAATTGACCCGAGAGAATCCAGAG